AAAGGGACATATGAATGGGTATTCTTGTCATTTCAGAAGTCTAGAGTGAAGTCTGCATAGTAGAGTGGACTTTGGGAGAGGGATTGCATAACAATGAAAGAGATTTTCTTTTCAAGGAGAATAGTGAATTGGGAGGGGGCAGGGAGAAAAGTGCAACAATGAATGACTGGAAACCCTAAGTCTTTGTACATTTTCTTTAAAATGATATATTTTTTTAAAAAGAGTGTCTTCACAGAAGATTGGCCCAGTGCAATACATCTTTTGGATTTCGTGACTGCTATTTCCATGAGTGTTGTTTGTGGACCCAAGTAACAATGAAATCTCTGACAATTTTAATCGTTTCTCCATTTATCTGATGTTGCATATTGGTCCAGTTGTGAGGATTTTTTGTTTTCTTGATCTTGTGGTGCTACTATACTGAAGGCTACCTAGTCTCTTATCTTCTCCATTAATACTTCAAGTCCTGTTCGGTTTCTGCAAGCAAGATTGTTGCTGAGTCTTCCTTCACTCTTAGTTCTTCTTCATAGTCCAGCTTCTCCAATTCATTATTCAACATACAGTTTGAATAGATAACACGAAAGGATACAACCCTGTCATACACATTTTCTGATTTTTAAATCATGCAGTATTCTCTTGTCCTGTTCAAACAATTGCTTCTCAGCTTTTGTACAGTTTTGACATGAACACAGTGAAGTGCTCTGGAGTTTCCATTCTTCCCAGTGTTACCTGTAATTTATTGAGATCTAGACATAGCAAATGAGAAAGTCAGGAAGAGAGCTGAGTTAGTTAGGTTCAGGAGACAGTGAATCCACCCAAGAATGATGGTGAAGGGAGATCCTTGTCTAAAGAGTCTAGATCTAGCAAGCAGTTGTCCAGACTGGAGCAGGACAGAAGATTCTCGAAGATACTTTTTTAGAAGAATGTATTGAGAGAAGATCTAAACAACCACTGGAGTGTTTGGCCTATAACAAATGATAACTATGAGGGAAATTCGTACTGTTTATGGAAGGAAAAGATTGTGGTGGAAAGGGGAAAAAAAAGATCACACAATTGTGGACAGAATTTACATATTCATTGACTATCTAGCAAAATGATGGTGTAATCATATTGGGAGGTAGGAGGATATGAAGGGGATTCATGTCTAGCAGAAATGAAAAGAGGGCCAAGTCCCCTGATTTCAAATTGGGAATTTAGTAGATGATGCATAAAAATGAAAACCAAGAAGTAGCTAAACAAACATGTTATTTAGAACGTAGGGACATGTTGTTGTTAAGGGCCGTTGAGTCATAGGCGACTCATAGCAAAGACCTGGACACCTGTATAACTTTCGTCCTTTCTCCAGGTTAATAGGTTTTCCGGAGGCAAGCTATTTCAGAAGTGGATGCCACTCCTGCTTCTAAGCTTGTTTTCATCGGGAAGCTCCACCAAACAGTGTCCACCATGGGTAACCATTCTCCAATTTGACTCATCAGTGTCACAGTGTTCGGCTTCACAGCAACCTCGAGTTACCTCTGTACAGCAAGTGGACAGACCAGGGCTATTTGACCTAGAAGAATGTTTCATCAAAAACAATTAAAGGCAGGCCTGAAGGCTGCGGAGTAGAGTCACCCACCTTTGGCTTGGGAGTATGACTTTCTGTCCACTAGGCCAACTGCTCTCTCTCTATGCTGTTGTTGTGGTCCTCAAAATAATCAGTTAAAATAGATGAAAGTGATTTCTTTTGGGAGGGAGCTGATGGAAGTTAACAGTTTCAACAAGGATAATGAGTGCATGGTTGAAGACTCCAGTGAAAGATGGCAGAAATGAGACACTGAGATTCCGAGAATCTTATGAAAACAGGTCAAAGATGACTAATGTTTGTTGTTGTTCTGTGCTGCTAAGTCGCCTGCCACTCATAGGAACCTTATGTACAACAGCCCTGAGCCTTGCTCTATTTTGAGCCAATTTCTCTGACACATTTACCCCCATTACCCCAGTCACTGAGTCAATACATCTCTTTCAGGGATTTTGTGCTGTTCTTCTACCCTTCCAAGCATGATGTCTTTCTCCAAGGATTGGTCCCTCCTGGCAACATGCCCAAAGTATATGAGACAGAGCTTCAAAATCCTTGCCTCCAAGGAGCAGCCTGATTTCACCTTCTCCAGGGGAAACCTGTTTTTTCTCTTAGCAATCCACGATATATTCAATACTCTTCTCCAGCACCACAATCAAAAGGCATCAATTCTTCTTTTAGCATCCTTAGTCACTGTCTAGCTCTCTAATGCATTGCAAGTACTTGCAAAGAGCATGGCTTGGATCAGGTGCACCTTAGTCTCTAGACTGACATCCTTGCTCTTCAGACAGCAGATTTTCCCAGTGCTAGTTGTCTTTTGATTTCCTGGCTTCTTCTGGTACCAACAATGTTGATTATGGAGTCAACCAAGTTGAAGCTGTCAGCAATCTCAATCTCTTCTCCACCTATCATGATACTGCCAATTGGCGCAGTGGTGAGAATCTTTATTTTCATGAAGTTGAGCTTCCATCCATATTGAAAGCTGCAGTTCTTGATCTTCTGCAGCAAATGCCTGAGGTCCTCGGCAGTTTTGACAAGGTTGTGTCATCTGCGTCACACAGGTTTGTTGATGAATCTTCCTCCAATTCTGATGCCACATTCCTCCTCATGGAGCCCAGCCTCCTGTTCGGCATATAGATTTAAAAGGTAGGGATTAAAATTTTGAGGTAGTTATATGAATTTTCTGCTCTTGCACTGAGCTTCTCTTTTGTTTTCCTTACTAACATGAAACACTTGGCTAGGTTTTCAGGAAACAAGAGAGACTCTTTGTAATTGGCTGGAAGATGTATCCCCAAAATACATAGGCCGTTCCTAAATTGGGAAATGTTGAGAAAGGCAATGGAGAAAGGATATGGTGTTCCTTTTAAGTGAAAAGAATAAGGATGTCTAAGAAGTGGGAAATGGTCCCAATTCTTTGGAGTACAGCAGTGGTTTTCAAACTTTCCACATATAACCCGTGGAACTTTAAAAAAAACCTCAGAACTCAATGCCTCTACTACCAACTATATCGAGTAAGTCCAAGTGCCTGAGAGTAGATTTGTTTTAAAATCAAGATCCTCAGGAAATTACAATGGGACTTACTGGGATAAAGCATATGCTGAAGAAGCTAAAGCTGGAAGAGTAGGGTGAACTGAAATTTGAAGAGTTTCAAATGCCTTCCTACTGAATCTGGTCTCTGGTGGGCAATGGGGAGCCATGGAAGGCCGCTGAGTTGAAGGGTGATGCAATATTATTTTTGGAGATGTCTTAATGAATTTCAAGAGAGAGTTAGCTGGTGACAGTCTGAAAGGAGAGCCTTACCTCCATTTTAAAGACTTCGCATGAATCTAGAGTCTATGTTGAGTTTTAAAGCTGCCTTTTCTAACTTCAGGGGAACTCTAGTGGCTTAGTGGTAAGGAATTGTGCTGCCACCAGAAAGATCCTAGGTTCAAATCCACCAGCTGCTCTGCGACCTCATCATTGCTATTCGCAGCTGCCCAGAACCTTGAGGAGGAGGATCAGTTAGGAGTTGGTCAGTGATAGTAAGTTGGTCAGATGAGTTGGCCAGTGATAGTAAGCTAACCTTAATAACGGACTTAATTACAAACCCTAAAGGAAACCCTGCATAGGTCTGTCAGTGACCAGTATAATTAATTGCCAGAGGCTTTTCTTGTTTTGCTAAGCAGATGCAAGATGTGATAATCGCTTATACCCAGAAGGTCTTGATGTTACAGTATTATCTCTATCTCTTTCCAGTGGACCCCTAGAAACAGGTATGATTGAGGAAGTATTTTTACAGCAGATTACCGGAAAAACCAGTCTTGCCACTGTCCTGTGACTAACCTGTAATAAATAGACGTGCACTTGCCTTTTATCCTTGTTTTTCAACCAATCATGTAATCCTACTAAAATTGACCACTCAGACTAAAAAAAAGAAAAAAACCAACAAAACCCCACACCACCAAAAAAACCCCAAACCTGCATTACCAACTCAGTGCTGACTCTCCAGCAGATTTTAGGGAGTCTATAAAGAGGGCGTTCTGGTGGCCGAGAGGTAAGGAGAAGAATCCAACAGCTGCTCTGTGGGAAAAAGATGGACAGTCTCCTCCTGGGAGACTCACTGGCTCTGAAAGCCCACTGGAGGCTCACCTGTGCGTCTCCCTCGTATCAGCAACAACAAATAACAAAGGAGATTGCCCACCTTTCACTGGCAAAACCACTGGTGGATTCAAACTGCCAGAGACCATCTTTTTAGCAGCCCAACTCCCTAAAAGACGACTAAATCTCTACTTTTAAGAAAGCTCACCTCTGACCTTCCCATTTTTTTTTAGACAATTATGCTTTTTAGTTCCAGTTCTAATGATTCAAAACCCATTCTCTTTTCTCCCTTTTGTTTGTAAGAAGAGCCATCTTTACTCTGAATCTGGACATCGCCATCCAGACGAGGTCTGCCTCAATAAACTCGTTTTGTGTTTTTAAAGCCGACTCTGTAGGACTACACACCCACAACAAATGGGAAGAAGATTCCAGAAGCAAGAGGAACGGAGGAGTTCTCCACCTGGAGTGACCAGTGGCGAGAAGGATACGTGATTTCACGTATGAGGCGTGTCTGAGTGTTACCAATCTTTGTTTTTCAGAAATTCGGACTGTTCCTAGTGTTTTCTAGCCTCTGGGCATTGAGGGCGGGCCTGGGCTCCCCTTAAGGTATTGCGCACCAGCAGGAGGCGGTCTACACGGCGTGTCTACACTACGTGGTGTCTACACCGAAGCCTTACCCTGAGTTCTAAAAAGCGATTCTTGTTCCTGAGAAGTGACAGGAGTGTGCAGGGGACGAAGCCAGGACCCTGGGGGGGTCGTGGACCCTGGGACTTAGGGGATTCTGCGTCCTATCCATCCTTCCTTTCCAGGAGCGAGGCCCTAGGGCGCAACAATCTCCCAGGGGTGAGCACTTTGCACGACCCCCGGCGCCATGAGCAAAGCCCGAGGCGACAAGTTGGGGGTCTCCCTCCACGTGAAGGGCGCTTCACGGTGAGTACTGGACGGTCACCGATGGTGATGGCCGTGGGGGACGGAGGTGGGCCCTCTTTGTTGCCGGGTGGAGGCGGGGAAGCAAACCCAGGGCTGTTAACCCTTTTTATTTTTTTTCTTCCAACTTCCCCCACCCCCTTCCCATAACTGCCGTGGACACCGCGTCACGCAAGCGGAATTCGCGGCTGACCGAAACTCTGAAACTTGCAGCTGCAGCGGGAGCGTGTATTACGTGCTCCGGTGTGTCGGTGGCCGCGGGTTCGAAGCCCTGGGTTTGCACACGCTGACCCCAGAGGCGGCCCCTCTGGAGCCCTCACGTGTGTTGCGAGCCATCGAGGCGGTGACAAACACCCCCTCCCAGCCCGGGCGGCGCGCACGTGACGGTTTTCGGGCTCCCGTAACTACGTGGAAACT